TTGAAAGGCGTTAAGAACCAAACATCGGTAATTAAATCTGAGATAAAAGGATAGACAGTTGATATATGGAGGCAGTTTTAGACAACTGTCGTGATCTGTGGAGGTTTTTGAGGCAACTCTGAAGTAAAAGCGCCTGCAGCTAGAGGGGTGTAGTGGGTGTGAACTAACCAAAGGCTGAGCTTAGTCCCGCTTTATGCAGCACATCCCCTTCGTCATCCCTCACCAGCTCACGTTTAACTGCCTCCTATGACTTAGGCGATGTTCACAAGCAAAACAAACGATTACGGTCAAAAAATTTAGCGGCCCGGATGCGCTTATACTAGTAGGTTCGTAAGAGTGTACTGACTCTCTCAGCTTGCTATGGGTGTTCCCCGACGGTTGGAGGTCGACCAGAGTAAATTCGGTGCCTAAAAAGGGATCTCGTAAGTATCGACCATTTGCGTGTATATTTGTGCTGCCAAACATTTTCGAAAGACCATTTATTCCGCGGATTTGTACAGCCACTTCTGTCAATGATAACTATCGGAGTTCCACAATGGAGGTAGTAGCATACCTTGTTAACTATATAGCATCTGCCATCGGTTGGGGCGACAGAGTTGCTGACACGGAAGTGTTGCGACAAAGTGGGATGTATGCAGTAGACTGCATACTTTTGCTGAGACACCTGAGGTGGCTCGGTCATGTGAGCCGTATGGATTCGACGCGAATACCGAAACAACTCCTATTAGGTCAGCTGAGTATTGGGAAGCGGCATGCTAGGAAACCAAAGTTACATTACCAGGACATGATTAAAGGGAGCATCTCACGTTCTAAGTTTAATTGTATGTCATGGGAAGCGAAGGCGGTTGATCGGCGCGCATGGCGCGATCTAATCACGAAGGCAGTTGCCGAAGTGCGGGAGAAAGACCTCATACATGCAGAGAAAAAGCGGTAAGTGGCGAGCGCCGTTGGGTTGTACTCCATCGACATCGAGCGTATGGTGCTGTAGCACATGCGGTCGCGAGTGCTTGAGTCAGGCAGGCCTAGTGAGCCATGAGCGAGGTCACTCTGGACCACTACCGAAGCGACTTCGGGTCCTGCAGATAACGTAGGCAAAACCGGCGAAGCGTTTGTAGGTACGTTGCATTCGATTTACTAACCGCGTGCTTGCATGCCAAGTCTCTTTATTTCAGGTGGTGGGTTTTCAGTGTTGTCCTAATGCTTTTCTTTCTCATAAAATGTCTACCTGTACTCTCTTTTATAAACTTGCACACGTCGATTAAGCCAAGCGCAGTTAATTTCGATAACATTTTCGTGTTTGTGGCATTTACGTAAAATATACTTGCTGACCTCCTAAATTTATTTTGAATTCTTTTGTAAACAACTTATTTCATATGCTCATTAATTTAAGAGTTATGTCACCGTTTCCTTGTGCATTAATCGAGTTACTTTCCTTGTTATATTGCTCTCAAGTGATTGGCTGTTGCTTGATATCCCCGGTGTGGCTGCGCTTGATGTGCATGTTAACAAGTTGCCTACCTGTCTGTTACCCACTACCTCGCCAATACTGGCTCTAGGAGACAGTTGGTCGTTGCTGGAGGGGACGGGGTGCCCGGTGCTTGTGGCCATGTTAGGCTCGAAGAGTAGTTCCATGCACTCAGGGTGGAGCGCACTACGGTCCAGCCACCGCCTTGTGTGTACTTGATTCCGCAAATACAGCGTGCTTGTGTTTGCCTGTGAAGGAGTGTGGGCCGGCTCCGTTGATGAAACGTGGCTCCCATCCACATGCCACCCGGTCGTGTTTCTTCGGGATTACACTGTATATGGGGTGTGTGGTTGGAGCTGTGGGTGGTGCAGCGCAAGCCATCCATGGTCCCTCTGTAGGCGCAGGCGTCCTGTGGCTGGCCACAGTGACAAGCGAATCCGAAACCGGATGCCGCCAACCATATAGCATCTACACTAGATCAAAAAGCTAAATCCGTACGGATTCTTTTCCTTATGTAGTCAAATTCCTCTGGCAGTTTGGATAGGTTAGTGTTACTCAACCTGTTATCTGAAAATGGGGTGCATCGGGGTGTGCAATATGTTGCATGACAATTTTACGGATCGCACTCATTTCACCAGCGGTAACAAATCCTCTGTCCTGCACGCTGACTGTTGCATAGTTCAAGGTGCGATGTTAAGTATGCCCTTAGCCGATAAACGGAACAGAACGTGTACGCGTAGTACGGAACCGATTTACTAAAAGCATCCTGCGTCACAGTGGTTAGAAAAGCCGGAAAGGAGAACCAATGAAATAAGGAAAGTAAGGCAAGGCTATTCTCAACCAATAATGTGAGCGCCTGTGCTTTCAAATCGACACTCAAGTGCATACGTGACACCCCTCTCTTCCCTGTTCAAAACTGCAGATTCCAGGTTGATACCGATAAATTGGCTTAGGCGTGCGTTTTGAGCGTCTTAATTCTGGTTGTACCGCATCCGTTTGTGGTTCCTGGTTTTGTGAAGCAGATTCTCCGTCCGTTTTTAGGTCAGTAGCAGTCGCTTTTTGACCCCGCTCCTGTGATTCGTTTGAGCGTGGCCGGATATGGTCAAAATGGCGACGCACCACACGGTCGTCCTCCAGCTGTAGCTCCGCTTAGTTACTCGTTGAGGATCTAAGTGTAGCAGGTTGCCAGCTTGTTTTGTGAGGCAGTCTTGTGTATACCGGATCAAATCATTAAGACACATTTCATCTGCCATCTCTTCATCTACACACATTTCCTCCTGCTTTTCTTTCATTCTCGTTCGAGGGTTCGGAAAAAGTAGATGCAGTCTCGTTCGTAGTGGCCGACCAAACATTAATTCCGCGGGTGACTTCCCTGTCGACTCAGTCGGTGTCGTGCGGTAAGAGAACAAGAAACGGTCCAACTTAGTTTGTAGAGTTCCATGAGTCTGCTTGAGGAGACTTTGCCTAACAGTCTGGACTGCACGTTCTTCCATTCCATTCGCCGCAGACTTAATGTGCTGTATTCCGTTGTTACTCAGCAACTGTTGTAACTGTTCACTGATAAATGGGTTCCGTTGTCGGTGCATACCGTCTCTGGGATACCGAAAATGGCGAATATGGAGCGCATTTTTGCAACTGTTGTTGCGGAAGTCGCATGTGGAACTGAATGTACTTCTATCCATTTAGAATGGCCATCAATCAGAAGTAGACACCTCAACCCATTGATTGGGCCAAAGTAGTCTGCGTGTACCCACTGTCGGGGCCTCTCCGGACAACGCCATGAACGTATCGGTCCGGGAGACTTGCCTTTGGTATCACTGACATTGTTCTCAGTTTTTCGGCAGCCGCTCTATATCCTGGTCAATATTCGGCCACCAACAGTAACCACGTGCCAGCGCCTTCATCCTGTTCACGTCGGGGTGTGCGTCATACAGCTCTCTCAGCAACTGGGGTCTTAGTTCTTCTGGTGGAACTATGCGCGAGCCCCTAAATATACAGCCGTCGTATAGACTTAACTCATTATTCCGACAAGCAAATGGTTTCAGTTTGTCTGACGTGCTTGTAGGCCATCCGCTCATCAAGAACCGTTTCACCATCGACAACACAGGGTCCCGGTCCGTCAGGCGCCGCACCACGTCACTCCGGATGGGTGTCTTTTCGAGGTGTTGCATCAAGTTGACAAACTCCATGGGTTCACTATTCGTTTTGTGCCATACTGCTGCGGAAGTCGACTAAGTGCATCGGCAATGGTATTATTTGGTTCGTTTACATACTGAAGTTTGTAGTTATAGGCGCTCGAAAGTAGTGCCCACCTTTGCATTCGAGGCGAAGACATCTGTTGGATTCTTTTCTCCTCACCGAGAAGCGAAAGAAGTGGTTTATGGTCGGTGTGGATATCAAAATGTCTTCTCCTTACGTACTGGTGGAAATGCTTGACATCGAAACTAATCGCTAAGGCGTCTCTGTGCAGTTGGGAATAATTCCTTTCAGCAGGGTGCGGAAAGCAAAAGCGATTGGACGAAGAGAACCGTTATCCGTCCGGTGGCAAAGGACTGCGCCTACTCCGCGTGGGGAAGCATCACACTGCAGCACTAGAGGCCGGCTCTCATCGAAATGCGCGAGATACGGGGAGGCACTGAGCACCCTTTTTGCAGCTGTGACGGTCTTACTTTGATCCGGATCCCAAGTCCAAGACTTTCCCTTGTGCAACAGTTCGTAGAAGGGTGCAAATACTGTTGAGGCGTTAGGTAAGAAGCGACGATAGTGAGAAAACATCCCTAAAAGCGATCGGGGTTCAGCTTCATTCTTGGGTTCAGGTGCGAAAAGGATGGGCCTTACTTTGTCTTCTAATACGTGTTATCCGTTTTTATCGGGGCGATAACTGAGGTAATGAACGGAACCAGAGAAAAAACGTACGCTTGGACTTCTCCAGTTTGAACGCACGCTGTTGTAGACGTTCGAGCACAGTGGATAGCGTCTGTAAATGTTCAACATCTCTATGTCCTGTAATTAGAATGTCGCCAAGATAGACGTAAATAAAAGGAATATCTTTGATCAGGTTGTCCTTTGAGATGTCGCTGGGGCCGAACTAATTCCGAAGGGCCGACGTTTGTACTGGAATAGATCCATGTGTGTACTTATGGTTGTGCATGAGCGAGAGGTCTCGTCAAACTCAATTTGCAAGTAGGTATGACTGAGGTCGATCTGTGTAAAGTTTTGTCCGCCTGTCAGCGTAGCATACAGATCCTCTATCCGAGGTAAGGGATACTTACCCAGAATTAAACGATTAACAGTTAGTTTATAATTACTATAAATACGCACGGAACCATCTGACTTCAGGACTGGAACCATTGGAGCTCCCCACTCACTGCATTGGACTGTCTCGATTGTTTCTGTAGAATGCAATCACTATCTCGTCTTCCACTTTTGATCTCAGGGAATAAGGTAGGATACGTGCTCTGAGAAAGCGGGGCTGAGTTCCCGACCGTAATTTGATACTAACCTGATATCCGTGCAATTTTCCTAGTTACTCATCAAAAAGGTCAGAATATTGGTTGAGCACGTCATCCAAGCGCTGGTTACTAGGCGGGAACTTCATTGTCTAGCGTGACTGGAAGACATTTAATCCAGTCGCACCCGAGTAAGTTCGCACAATCATTCGCCATAATATATGCCTGTAAGGTCCGCTTCTCCCCATGGTAATTTACATGAACAGTGCATTTTCCCATGACTGGCATCGGCTGCCCAGTGTACGTACGCAAAGTTGATTCACAGGGGGATAACTTGGGTAACTTTTTAACTGAGGAAGCACTGATTACGGTAACTAAGGCACCGGTGTCAACTTCCATTTTTATCAACTGGCCTTCTATTTCCAACTGCACAGTGTAAGGTGGGTGGATGCCGTAGATGCCCGACGTTCCGTTCCAGATCGTGCTTAGCTGGTCTTCTTCGTCTGAAGTCTGGACGGCCTTCACGGGCTTCTTGGGGAAAGGTGATGTCGCGGCCGTGCAAGCTTTAGATCGGCAAACTCGGGCCGAGTGCCCTAATTTTCCACATTGGTGGTAGATACTCTGTTTACGAGGACATTCCTCGGCTGATAAATGGTGAGTTCCACATCGGTAACAGGCAATTCGGACCGTCTCGGGGTAACATATTTTTAGGTCGATTACTTGGACTGTGACTGTAAGAGATTGAGATGAAAAATCTGCTAATTGTTTATGGACATTCTCCAGCTGTCGAATAATATCGCAGGCCTTCTCCCAGCTCAACGTCGTCTCATCTTCCGACAACAACCTTTCACGAGCCTGTTCGTTACTGATACCGGATATAAAGCACTGTAAAGCCATCGCCTCTTTGAACTACGTAACTGGAATTGCACTATACCGACACTCTGGTAGGGCTTGCTGAATACGCGCAATGAAATCAATGACTTTCTCCAGGGTTTTGACGCAAGATCGGGAAAGAAGAACGCGCAATGTGTGTCCAGTTGTGAACCTCATAACCGGTTGAGGACTTTTAGCGCGCTGTTGACTGTCTCCTTCTCACCGACATAGAGGGCAATGAAATTTCTTTGGCCTTCATCCCCAGAAATTATCGCAATAATTTAATTTTGTAGCTCACTGAGAGTACCGTGTTTGGTTGCAAGACGAGTAGTAGCTTCAAATAATAAAAAACTGCGCTTCCAGGTAGCCGGTGTTTGTTTCTCAGAAAGAATCTTCCAAAGTAGTGTAGGAAGGTGCAACATCGCCCTTAGCCGATAATCGGAACAGAACGTGCACGCGTAGTATGGAACCGATTTAGTAAAAGCATCCTGCGTTACAGTGGCTAGAAAAACCGAAAGGAAAACCAATGAAATAAGGAAAGTAAGACAAGGTCATTCAAAACCAATCATGTGAGGGCCTGTGCTTACGAATCGATACTCAAGTGCTTACGTGATAATCATCTTTCCCATTTTCCTTAAATGTTGAACAGCTCCCCGTACCAACTGCATTTACTGGATGCATATATGTTAACGATATTGTGCAGGGGTGTATGGCCACAACCATACAGAATCCTTATTTGCTTCAAAGTGGATTAGGAGATCTGGTGGAGTGGTTTACATCCAGATATTTACTCTTAAGTGGTGGGATATTTTTATTTCATGGCGATAAGTTGCGGTCTTTTATAGATACCTCCAACATTTTGACTGTAAACGGCAGACACATACCCAGACACTTCACCATTAAGTACCTTTTGGTCCCAAAAATTTTTTCGGTTCACACACGTTTGTGAACTATTACAAAGTCAGAAAACTTGATTTTTCCCCTAAGACTTGAGGTGCTTTCGGTATCCCGTACTCTAGTAGTTAGGTTTGTGGCTTCAAGCATCATAACCCATCGGTTAAACTGCACCCGTGTTATCTTCCCTGGACTGTTTCAGAAAGAGTACACCTTATTGGTACGATTGATAAAGTGCATTTCGAGGTGCAGCGGCTTAACTATAGATTTCTTAGTTGATTTGTTTACTCCTAGACATCATGATGCCTGCATTAATTTTTCTCACAAGGGACTAATCGATCGATTTCGTCCACTGCTCAGTGGTCTTTCAAAACGTTCTTTCTTTTCTACGCGTCCGGAATTCAGTGTTTTATTTTCTTGCACTTCAGCGTATTCTAATCTTATCTTACCTTAGCTGTCGGACTTGTTTGTGGGGCTAACGAGAGTCATAAACATGCTGCATCAGAGATCGTTAGAGTGACAGTTGTGCACATGTCTCATTTTCCCCTCGCTTGTATATTTCTTATCAATAGTATCTTTCAGTACATTCGCATGGACAAACACTGAAAATGAACCATTTTCGGTTCATAAAGTTTATTTTAGCTTGACTAATAGATTCCATGCACCAGGTTCGAGTACCGAAGGGAACGGTCGCAGCCCAATCAAAACAGGGGGTTTGGAGCGGTCGGAATTATAGAGCCAAGGTGAGAGGACCAAGAAGAGTAGGACAGTCAAGGAATCCGTGAATGGACAACTGATTGCAAAAATCAAGGCGAATTGGAACTCGGTAGAAGCATAAAATACCAGAATTCAATTGTACTTTTCAAAGTGTGAAGGACAGTGCTTGGAATACAGAAGCCGTAACATTCGCACAGTTCGTGCATGTCCGTAATGTATGCTTGACACAGCATAGATGCGATCCAGGACCTCTTCTAAAGTTGGTGGGACGGCCTGATTCACTGGTAGGCGAAGATAGGCTGTTTTCGGCCGCTTCAGTCGTGGCCACTCGCCGAAGATGAGCAAACCTGTTCGGATCAAATTCACCAGTTCCCAAACGTATTCCGGACTTGTGGGGCCATAGTGTTGGAATACCCAGGCGATAGAGTAAAGCGAACAGAACCACCCCACTAGGTTCAGATTGAAGCTGGCATCGGTGTCTGAAGTAAGCTTCCCTGCGGCAAAGCAGTGTGCGGCTATTGTGTCAAATAAGGCACCTGGTTTCGTTTCCTCAGGCCACCAATACCCGCCACAAATTTCACACCCGATCGTACCGACATCGACTGCCTTCAACCATAAAAATTGAATATGGTTGAGAGATGCATCAGTTTTCCCCACGTTAGCGACCTGTAAAGGAATGAGATGATAAGGAAGGGTGAAAGTGAACTGCATACCACTCATGTAATACATGAAGTTGGTATCAAATGGGAAAAAATTCACGAACAAAGAGGGTGTAAACTAGCAGGTATTCCACCCTGGGCAACAACGATAAGACAGTACATGTACAACCCTTTCCAAAAAAATAGTCTATTTAACTACTGAGCTTACGTAATAAGGATCTGATTACTGATCAATTCAAACGCCAGTCTGTGAGGTCGACTTCTAACAGAGAATAAGAGTTTCCACTTGTGTATAACCTTTGCCAGGCCGTGTCTCAGCTGGCTTGGGGTATACTAATAACTTATAGGCTTAATTACAATTAATAGATACAGAATAAATAGTTAAGTGCAAAAAGTAGGGAAACAGCCTTATGAACGGCAAGTAACTTGATTTCTTAGAACCACATGATTGACTAAGTTCGAGCAAACGCAGCTAGACAGCGGCTGACGGATTCTAGCCCATGTAGAGTAGGGCCTTAAGCTGCGACGAGTATTCGGTGTGACCGAACGGGTAAGGTGCACGCCCATTGGTACGTATCAGTTTGACCAAGTCTCTCAACCAACGAATCCTACCCACTAGCTGACGACAAATAGACCCACCGTCGAAAAAGACAACTCCGAAAAGGTGCAGTCCGCGAATCATTTGTGGACCCGAAGAAGAAGACTGAGTTCCAGCAGGAATAAGCTTACTGACCCAAACCGAAGGTGAACACAGGGTTGCACACGCATCAGTCACGTAAAGGAGTTTCAGTAGACGAGGGTGAATACCGAAAGTGAAAAAGGGATATTCGTGCGGTTTAAGAAAGTGGTTATGACTAGCCCCCAATCAGACACATCTAGAAAAGAGCTGAATCGTTGTTTCGCCCGATTGGGTCTAGGAAAGATAGAGTATTTCCACGACATCGCCAGTAGTAGAACCATGATTTGTTTGCTTGGAATTCAGCGTTTTACGCGACCAATTACTAGCTGCGATAGAGTTGCGACGAACCCAGTATAAAGTTGCATCGAATCCCAATACGGCAATGAGCAGTCGGTCGAGTAACTTATATAACACCTCAACTGGGAGCAGCTTGCAACGGAAGCCGTAGTGCTGGGGGTTAGCCGCACCTTGTGCACAACATCAGTGCGAACAGTAGTGCTGCTCACCGACCATCACGTGCCGTTCGTTCGCTGCAGTTGGCCCAATATATGCTTGCTACGCTCGGGGCTACGTATAGTTGGTTCATGCTAATCCGCGTCAATTATGCGTCGTCTAGCTGGCCTGTGCAATCCTGCTCCGCTAACTTGCGCTGCACGTGAATCGCTTTCCGTCCACTAATGTGCCGTCGGCTCTGCGCGCCCATTTGGTCAGTCGCCATTGCACACTGTGTCTTCTGTCGAGGATCAATATTGTCCGGGGGAATTCGATCCCACTTGTGCGCAATCAGAATACTATTCAGTCATGATAAGCTGAATGAACTCTGTGCTGCCTCTCTTACCCATGCGTTTGTAGCGGGATCGCGTGGGTGATGTTTTAATGGATACCCGTCCTCTGGGATCGTGTAAAATTCGTTCACCAGAGCTGAAAGCTACCATCATCGAGAGAGTGAATAGTGACGCGGTGTGAATTAATCAGGATGGGAACAACAGTTACAGTGAAACAGTGCCCACTAACAGTTATCACTCAGCGGGCGCAGAAGAACGTGATTCAGCAAAGTCAAGAAGCGAACTGTCGCCATGTGATTCATCGGACGGAATTGAAAATATCCGCGTTAAGTAGGCACACAAAATGTCATAAAACGCGATATGTATAAACACTACTTCGCAAAATAGAATGTCACTGCGGCGCTACAGAAGCGAAAGTGAAGAAGTAACGGTTTAAGTCTTTCGAACGCAACGGATACACAAGAGGTTTTTAACCCACAGATCCTTAAGCTCATAAACACTGCGTCGATGCGAACGAAAGAAAAGCGGATCATTTTGCTCTATCTGAGGGACAATTTGAAAGGACAACCAGATTGTTTAAACAGCACCAGATCATGGCGGCGCACAAGTCCATCTCCATTTTTGAGAGGAAAACTTAAAAACCGAAGGGAAGAAAGAAGCGCAAGAAAGGTGAATTGTTGTGTACAGAATAAATTACAGAAATTGTGATAAGCACCACGTAGAACAAACAGAAAGAAAGTTATCAACAAGGATAAGGTACGCAAAAAAGCAAGCGAAAAACGATATGCACACGTGTATGAAGAGGGACGCAGTTTCGACTAGGACAATACAGGGATGGCAACCCAAACAGGAACCAAAAGGAGAGGGAATTTCTCGAGATTTTGTTTTCCACAAACAATTCAATCAACGTGTGCATCTACATCAATTTCGCAGACCAATCACTGAATCAGAAAGAGCTCAGATGGATTCAAAATTACAGCGCAAAAGTAAAGAATCTGCTACCCGGACTATAAGCAGGTCACTCAATGCGAAGCAGCATGCTGTATCTATTCCTCCGGCACCAATCCGTGCGAAAATCAGGTAAAGTTCGCAACCACATTTTGGCACCCTGTGGCAATTGAACAAGCACAGAATCGGAGCACCTTGAGTAACTAATCAGAACAAGCAAAGGTTGATGACTGAAAGCCTATATAAGGAATGGAGAAGTGGTTGGCGACATTCATACAAGACTTACTTTCTACCAGATCCCGCTACAAAACAGCTTAATTCCACGTACGGATGATGTCATCTTGGCTGGTGACGAAACGTTTGCAATCCAATTGCCCAACTCAGCAAACCCCGCAGCAACTGAACACCCAATCTGAAGTACGAGTATTTCGTTTGAACTGCAGCTTAGTATGCGTAAGTAACAAAAGGTACGCCCATTATATTACTAAAATGGAGAATAAGTAATGAGTGGGAGAATTTTGTAATTTGAGGTTTTCGTCCCAGTAGCTCAGAAGCTACATAGCACAGCCTAGTTTGGGAAAGCACTAGACGCGTTTCGCCCTATTGGGGATCGTCAGTATTGCGCATTCCTTCGGTCCCCTACTGGGGAGCTACATTTTATATTACAAATTAGTAGGATGAGGTTATACTTTTAATGTAGTCTCCTAGTTTCACGTGCTATGGACGTAGCGAACACATTAAAATGGAGTAGCTTAATAAATTGACCACAAAGGCGCACAGATGAGAAAGCTGACAATGTAAGTAGGCTCTTACTTCCGACAAGACATACTCCCACAGAAGCAATCTGGTTGCATCAGGCGTCCCATCATGCTGGCAACGTGAATCGGTGCAGTGTTCGCAGTCACATTCGAAGAAGTATTGCTTGCGAAGTTGCGCGCGTCTTCGTGTCCGAGATACGTCATGCAGAAAGTGTGGCCCGTAGCACGTGAACACTTCGTCACCAGGTTTGACGGGCTTGGTGCAGCGCAATATGATGAAACTGCCCTGGTTGGAAAATAGTGAAGTACATAAAACACCGCGCGATACAGACATAAAATTTGCAAATAACAGAGCTTCCATAGTACAACGGGTGAACATTTCCCTAACATGTGGATCGACATAGTATCCGGTGAATACTATGTCCGCACGAAGAAGTCTGGGTGATAAATAAGTTAGACGGGCAAGTGAGTAGGAGACAAAGCCCCTATCCTACCGGTGCCAGTGTTTGCCATTAGACAAATGATGAGTGAGCCAACATACTTCATGTATGGTGCAGCTGGAGGAAGTGAGGATGATCAGTGGTATATGCTCATCAAGTCCAAGTAAAGGAGGGTAGCGCACTACAATTACGATGTTTCACGTATAACTCTCAGGTAGGTTAACAGTACAGTACGAATTTTGGTTGATCATGATTCCTAACATAGTCCATAAGACGTTAGCTGGTCAAAGAAGAAAACCAAGAAAAGTAGCAATACACGCAAGGTAGGCTAGCGTAAAGGGTAGACAGAGTAACTGCACTTTACCGGACGTCCAGTACAGTTAATTCACGCCCGAAGCCGTGATGCACCTAGAAGTGTCAGCGAATCAAAGGTAATGAGGATTGGTGCCAGTCTGGTTTAGTCGATGAGTTAAGGCGGACCGCGATGGTGTTGCAAGTTTTGTCGAAAGCAACAAGGGATAATATGCTTGGCTCGTTGGGTAGTATGAAGGTGAGTAGGCATGAAATGTACGCAGATAAAAAAATGAGGACGGCACAAGAGAAGCGGTAAGATGGAAATCACATGAACGCAAAGCCCAGCAATGGCTGTGATGATAAGTAGAAGCATGTAATAATTAACATCAAAGAAGCTCCGAGACCAGTGTTTTACGCAGCTTCCTTTAAGAAATCATGATGTCCTCAGGTCTGTTAAGGAGAGGCCTCATCATCCGGATATTTCGCCAAGCTGATGTCAAAAGGAGTATGTTAATTAAGGTACGGTATGGACAGCCTTAGTTAACCCAATGTAACGAGATCCAACCGACAGTTGCGTTTAGCTGATTTACAGAAGACACGTAATGCAACAATAGCCGACCACTGTGACGGTTACCACAGTCATAACCAATCAATTCATGGGACAGCAAGTTATAAACACTATACAATTTCTCAGCCAACCAGGTGCATAGTGGAATCAAGTTAAGCTGCAGGGCAATCAAATCATTCTGTTACTCAAGCAAGTTGGTCCGCTTATAAACCCAATTGCGTCGGCTGTGATTACCCGCGCGCACAGTCGTCATGGTCATGAGCAATCAAGCAATATCGGATGTCAGTACAGAGCAAAATGTACACATGTATTTGACACACGTGTGTCGGCCGGACATGCTCGCGAACACCTTGTCACCCGGGAGATGATGGATTGTATGAGAAGGGTGAGAGTGTTAGTGCCTTAAGTCACCAACTTCGCGCTAGGAGGATGTTGGGTCAACATAAGATAAGGTTTGAGCATGTTCCAGATTGAAGGGCCGTAAGGAAGAGTGGTTTGTTACCACGGATCTCGCTGTACAGTCCTAATAAAGAGCGAAAGTTGTAACGGGAAACTAGAATCACATCAGGTTAGCTCAGTTAAGCAGTTGGACTGCTCGCTACTAAGTGAGTTAGATCGCGATAAATAAATAATTAAATAAATGTTTTATCCTCGACAGTGCGAGACACACCTGTATAGGCATGATCATTGGTGATTAAACAAGGACTGGTAAATGTAAAAGCTGCACAAGTTTATAAGTAGCATTCTGGTCTATGTGTTACGCGTGTATGAATGCATGCAGGTACGTGTGTGGTTTCAAACTGTTGGAAGATACTTGGAACTGATCGAGTAGTCACGAGTTCAGAGAGGTTTGGAAACAATCGGTTAGTATAGTAGTTTGGTAACGTTTCACCCTTGACACAAGGGCTTCATCAGACCAGGTGAATACGTGTGTAATTGCAGTGGGATTCTATAGCGAACAGGGGCGATAACCGCGTTAACCGAGACTTGAGCCAAGGTGTCATTACGGTAACAGTTGTTGTGTTTCTTATGCCCCATGCTGAGGCTGATGTAGCATGCATGATGCGTCTTCATCGCAGTTGGGCGAAACCAACTTACACTTAAACTTAGTGTTTTAAGCTGTATAAATTTCATGCCACTTTATTTGGTTTGTTCTGCCTACATGAATAATCTTCTATTAACTTGTACACGTTGCTCACGTTAACTGTGGTTATCTTCGTTAACTATATCGAATTTGTGGCATTATTTTGACTGTCTTGTGGAAATTGGGTACTTATTGCGGATTCGTTGCTAAGCAACTTACTTCATATGCTAAAGTAGCGAAGTTATGTCGGCATAGCCGTATGCTTTAACAGTTATAATTTATTTGATAATGTCATTTCAAGTGATTGGCTGTTGTTTGATATCCCCGGTGTGGCTGTGCTTAATGTGCATGTTGACAAGGTGCCTACCTGTCTAGTATTCATTACTTCGCCCATACTGGCACCAGGACACAGTTGGCGTTGCTGGAGGGGACGGGGTGCACGGTCCTTGTGGTCGTGCTAGGCTCGGAGAGTGGTTCCATGCACTCAGTGTGGAGCGGACTACGGTCCAGCCACCGCCTTGTGCGTGATTGATTCTCCACATACAGCATGCTTGTGTTTGCGTGTGAATGAGTGTGGGCTGGCTCCGTTGATGAAACGTGGCTGCCATGCCTTACGGTCTTATTCCTTCGGGTTTGCACCGGATATGGGGTGTGTGGTTGGAGCTGTGGGTGGTGCAGCGCAAGCCAACCATGGTCTCTCTGTAGGCGCAGGCGTCCTGTGGTTGGCCACAGTGGCAGGCAAATCCGAAACCGGATGCCGCCAACCATAGGTTGAGTTGCTTGAATTCGCAAATGTGACACCATATAGGTAATTGGTTTTGGTCAGGCCGTCAGCGTGAGTAGGGGAAAAAGAATATCTTCGTGTTGGATGACTGACGGCCTTGGATTGGGTATGAGCACCCGGATACGTAATAGGCAGTGGCTTTAGTTAGTGGCGAGTCACATGCGCGACGTCACGGTGTTTTTAAATGGACGTTTGTGGTTTTTATAGGGAGAACGCCTGCCAGGCGATAACTCACCACGTCCTGGAACACTGCCGTCGAACTATTTGATGGAATGGGATAAACACGTTGTTCAACTAGCCAGCGCTATTCAAAGATCATCGAAGAGGATAAGAGGAACCGACCGTCAGCAGAGGATAACTGCGTTCACACTAGTCATGGATTACATGCTCATTGTTACAGTGTGACCTACTACTAACTAGGTGAAGTGAATTCCGGAGTGGAGTCGTCCATCTCCATACCAGATTTGAAAGCTACCACCTGATGTCCAAGCAAATCCTTTGTTTCTGAATTTCCCAAGTGCCAGGAGCTAAGTACTATTCGGAGTGTTAAAGCACTTTCGTCCCTATGTAGTACTGGACAACACATAATGCGCTATATACTCAAGTAACTGGGTAGCTTTCAAATAAAGCGTAAGTTGTGATGATGTTTAATGAGTGGGTCATGTAACAGTGCCGACCCGTCGCCCAAAGGTAACAAGTTTGCCTTGTAATCAGGCGGCGCGGGATCGAGCTTGCTTAGGGGCAGGGAAACCCTCGCAGTATCTTAGCCCACGTGCGACCGGTGGTGGTTGCGCGGCAGCGAAGCGTCAGTACTGCGAACTGGCGTACTACTGATGCCTTGATTTCTTTCCGCTGTTCACATGGAAGAGTGCCAGTAAAAGTCGAGCAAAGTAAAGGCTCTCTATGCATTCGCCAATAAGTCAAGGAGCTAATAAAAATGGCATCGATCGAATGGACAGTTGGATGCTAATTCACTCCAATGCGAGTGAAAAAGAGGATTAAGTGAAAGGAAATAATGAATCTGATTAGCCAGAACGACGACAGAAAGAACGTGAACTGATGTCATCATCATCATTATACACGTCAACTAGAGGTGGTAAGCATCTCAGTTACTGTGCCGCAATAAATAAAAAAGGGGGAAAATGCAACAGATGCAAGCCAGCTGAGCTACCAGCAACGGATGGGCACCGTTCCGGTAAGCTACCAGCCGGCTACTACGCAGCAAAAAAATTTACTATGCAAAATAATGTAAGGCTAAGTAGTGAGATTGAAGTTGGAGGGGGAGGCTAAGAGGGATGGAATGGGACAGAGAAACTCAAAGCACGAACGCCACTGAGGTCGGCTCCTAGCCATATCAGCAAGTGTATCCAGCCAAAGGTGTTCATCCACTTTCGGACCCCAACCAGGGAGCCGATACGCTCTAAGCGAGGACAGCTTCGAAGTGAGGCCTTCAATCCTCTCGACCAAGTCATCGCTTGGCCACCCCTCCTCTTCTTCCATTCACACTCCCGGCGCGCAAACAACGCAAGTCGCGGGAGTCGGTGGGCTGGCATGAGTAACACGTGGCCGAGCCATCGGAGCCTGGTGCGTGAAATAACGGTGATGAGCGGTTCATTTCCTTTTCCTGTGCCGTAAACAAGGCGTCGAATACGCTCGTTGCTCAGTCAGTGTTCCTACCAGATGTGAGCCAAATTACGAAGACACCGGCGGTCGAACGAAACTAGCCTCTTTATGTCAGCTGATCTAAGGGGTCAGGTTTCACAATCGTACAGTAATGTTGAACATACCGCTGCGTTGTACACTCTACCCCTCAGAGCGAGTGATGTCGCGCCGACGCCATAAGTGGCGAAGGTTAGCAAAAGAGCCCACCGCTTTTGCTATACGGTTCGTGATCTCATCTCCAATCCCACGGGCGCTGATACAACTTTCCAGGTAGTTGAGTTTTTGAAGAACTTCTACCTTATCCCCACTATAGGTTAGCGCAGGTGGCGGTCCAGACCAATCTTGGAGGAACGCTTTGCACTTCGAGGGTGCGAAGCAAAGCCCGAAATGACGGACAGAAAGTGTTGCTGTGTCCAGTGCAGCTTGGCACCTTTGTGAGGTGCCACAGATTAGGGCAATATCGTCAGCATACTCCAAGTCAAGAAGTCGTTCTTCTGGGAGCAGATCCACACCATCAAAGTCGTGTCCTGTGAACGCGATTTCCATGACTTCGTCAATAGCGTAGTTGAAGAGGGAAAGTGACAGCGGGCATCCTTGTCTCCCCCCGCGGGACATACTGAAGGGCGACGACAGCTAGCCGTAAACCCTCACTCTGTCTTAGATATGCGCGTTTAATACTTGGATAATATTTACATATTTCTCGGACACACCTTTCCTGATTAGACGGTCCTAAAAGGCACGTCTATCCACCGAATCGAATGCAACTTTGATTTAGAGGAACACGACAACAGTGGGCCGCCAATATATATGACGGTGCTCCAACAACTGACGCAAAGTGAAGGTGTGGTCAATGCAGCCACGAGCTCGACGAAACCCGGCTTGCTCTTCACGAGTGCCGAGCAGTGTGTGAAGGAAGACAGAGGTAAGCAATTTGGAAGCGATGGAGATTAAACTGATTCCTTGATGGTTTCCGCATTCCGATGGTGAGCATTTCTTGAAAGTTGGGACTATGACGGAGCGGCTGCAGTCGGTTGGGACAGTTTCCTGCTCCCACAGAGCACGTCCTCCGAATTTGAAGAGGGCTGGAGGAAGATCATCTGGTCCCGCAGGTTTATTCAAGTGCAACAGTCCGATCTCACGTTCGACTTCTGAGCGAGAGGGCGGATTCAAAGGGACAGCCCACGGAGCAAGACGATCATTGGCCAGGGAGAAACCTGACCATTTCGACCGATTAAATTGCCTTTCAAAGTTCTCATCCCAACGCTCCAAACGTTTTGACAAGTTTTGGATTGACTGTCCACTCTTGTCACGTATAGTTTCACAAACAGCGAGTCTCATAGTGTTCGCTTTCAGCAGGAATGTGCCGGCGAGCATCGATAAGTTCCAGAGACTGCGAAGAGAGCCAATGTCCATCCTGGCGATTAGGCCTACCACATGAGGATTTGCATGCTGCTAATAAGGTCTGGTGAATATGAGACCAGTGAACTTCAATTGCATCCAGTGAGCGTTTATCCAGCTCGCATGACAGCGTACTTCGGTAGGCATTCAGAACAGCTGACTTCGCCAGTTGGCTGGTGTCAATGCGCTCACCACGTCGACGTGGGCGTCCGCCAAAGCACATCCGCAGGTCAGCACATACAAGTGCATGGTCGGTTTTCTACACATTTGCTCCAAATCGAGCGACAGTTCTGGACGCAGCCTCTCCATCGGTAACTTATCGCAATGTGATCGATTTGCGTCCATAGCTGGTTCGAGACTGTTGGGCACCAAGTCACCCTCCGGCGGGTGCTGTGTCGGAAATTAGTGCTTGCAAGAAATAAGCGAGCATCTTCACACAAATGAAGTAACCGCTCACCGTTATCATTACGGGAGCTTACACCATGTTGGCCGCCCAGATGCAGTTCATTAGTGGACAAATTTCCTACTTGAGCGCTCAGATCCACAGCTAGGACTACAGCGTCTGAGCTTCTTCTGTGGCGAAGGAGCTCGTTCAGTTGAGGATAGAAGTCGTGTTTTACCGAATCATCGCTAGTTGGTGGGGATCGTAGGCGGCGATGACAAACAGACACTTATTGGTCTTGAGCGACGTCGAAGATTTGGACGAGCTAGCCAATCGGACTGCATGCATCAGGTTGCTGATTGGGATCCAATCAACCAGAGCAAGTTCAGCCCTGGGACTCAGGGCAATACCAACACCGGCTTGGCCGGTGCTCGAAGCTGCATCATCATCAGATAGACGCAATGAGAAAGCACCGCTAGTCACCTGAAGGGGACTGCAAAGTGAGCACAAAGCTCGAGTCTTGCAGGCGGGTCTCCGATAAGCAGCAGATATCGATCGAGAGGGTTTCTAATGTCCGGGCAAGTGCTGCCTGTTGACCGATCTGTAACAATGTGTATACTTTGAGGCATGCCAATCTGAAGGAAGAGCGAGGGTTCCAAATAGAAGCCGATGAACTGGAATGAGCCGCTTGCTTGGACATGGGCCTGTTGACAGGGCAGGAATGACGCCTCGCGTTCACAGGTGAGTTGAAACTAAAAGACAAGCGACTATTGAAGCAAGGCGGGGGAAGACCGAGGATTGGGGGGTTAAAAACAGAGGGGATAAAAGTGAAGCTGGAACGGTACGATAAGGGTGAAAAAGTGTAAGAGGGGAATAAGAAGATGGGAAGGCTTGAGCGGTAGCATCCAAACTCCTATCCACCCTGCTCGATGTAGCAGAGGTACCGTTGACTATTCTCTGAGGCGGCCAGAGCATCAAGAAATTGTGTGAGGATGTAAACAAAAGGAAGACACAAAATTGAAAACGGACAAACAATGGGAAAGAGCAAAGTTGTGAATTAATGCAGGATTTCGCGCAGTGCCAATGATTACTTGAGCTAGGGATATACGGTTCCGATCACCGATTGGATTAAGTTCCGGTGACAGATAGGTCGAGAGGCATCGGTTTGCTCTCAGTTCTGGAGGGATGGTGCTGGAGAATAAGTTGAGTAAGTTTAACTGGGGCTTTGGATGATAGCTACATACCCTCACACACTTGGAGTTCAGCGGTGGATCTAATGGGGGGGGGGGCGGAATCAGTGGCAACAGTTATTCTCAGTTCGACGATGCTCAGCTGATCTTGAACACAACCCTCATATAACTGATGAACAATGTCCACATCCAATTAATTCCAACCGAGGGCCAAGGACATCGGTGAGAAGATGCATCCGTCCCTTGTGGGTAATATGCAAACGGAGACAAAAGTCTGTTTACACCAGTGTCAAACCAGATGGAGTTTGATTAAATTGCGGAGTCATGTTAAACTGTGGTGTCAACCGTTTTCAAACCGGCCACCAATGTTGTGTTGATGCTGTAATTATTGTGCGATGTTATGTAGAATGCAGTTGACGATGAAGCAACGGTATATATGCCAGAGATCCCGTGAGACGAACAGTAACTCGGTACGCATTCATTTGACCATGTGATGTAAGGGAGAGATAGCCCAGCAGATTGGCCGCAAGAGCATTATGGAGATTCTCCAATGAACCTTAACAAAGTTCCACGGAGAGGAGATGGTCAGTGTGGACAGGTTGAAGACAGAAACAGCGACATCCACGAATTCATGAATTTATCCCCAAAAGTAACAGAGGACGATGTTTGAAGTGAGTAAAGCAGTAAAGATAAAAATTTGGTGCCCAAAGTCTTGTTGGAACTCTGGACATGAAGGGTCCACTAACTGGGGCTAACTCAAGAGCTGAATCAATGCCCATTATGTAAGACCGTCTCAAGCGAATTCGTGGCAAATCCAAGGCTGTCCTGCTCGTCAGCTCGGCAATAAATTGGACAGAGGCACGATACCGCTACCGGACTGTGGTCGAAAGCTACCAGAGTGTTTAGTGGATGGAGAAAACAGATGAGAAATGCAAATGGATTATCGTTAAAATACAGCAGTGATGAGGCATAGGTACTAGTGAAACAAGGACCAAGCATTACTTCATCACGCTGCGTGAACCATTGGCGGTGAGGCTGGCAGACCGAATTCATTTGGTGAGTGGCCGCCGTATTGCAATGATGTAGACGGCCCCAAACCATTGCAGTAGCGGGTAAGTTACATACTCTGATTCACTTTAACCAATAATGTAATAATCACAGTATAGAATGTGCAACATCGCAAATAAAACTGAGGATGTAGGCCCATGACCATATAGTAATATTTTAAGAAAGGGGAACAATGCCGAGCACAGGCCATACAACAGTTTAGGTTTACCTCTAAGACAAGGTGAAAGAAAATGAGCCACCAACGCGAGTGTGTAAAACAGCATGGGCAACAGAAACTATCCGAGAAATTAGGAATTTGACCTTAACCCACAAGGATGGGTACTCAGCCACTAACAATGGTAGCAAAGTAATCGACCTACAAAACTACCTTGCGGCGATGCGCAGGCTCGATTTGTCAATTACAACTTGGCATCTAACAGTGATTTATGATGGCACTGTTATCCGGTGCTCCAGTCTAGACACGCGTGATACATTGAGCTGGAACGGAAATAGGAGAGTTGGTGAACCAAAAACAGCTCACTTGAAATGAAATGGACGTCGTCGGTTCACAGGCATGGTTCAGCAAGCTCACACAAGGAAACAAGCCAGTCGCGACTCGAACCTGACGCAGATGAGGAAGAATGAGCATAGAGGTAGCAGCATCATCAACTGTGGCTTCATCCAGCTCCAAAGGAGTGGCATCTTGCACTTCAGTGAGTGCATGAGCATTCAGTTGCAATCGCCGCAAGGTGTCAAAACACCATAGCCCATCGATCATCTCACGGTCAACACCAATTGGAGTGCAGTTGGCGAGAATCTTGGACAAAAGCCAGGCGGTGAGGGCATACTCGAACAGATCGACAACCGTGAACTTTTCAAAGTGTTCCACTAAGTCATCGACCGTAACCACGCCGACGGATGCGAGGGAAGATGCATTCTGACGACGGAGCCAGGCGAGACGGAAGCACAAGTGTCCGAGTCCGGTGGAGTTCAACAGGAACGTAAAGCTGACCGAACAAATGGACGGGATAAAATGTGCGTAGTGAAGGGGTTTCGGATGGAGGCCAGGTTATAACGGAGAATAATAGATCTTTGGTCGCTCAACAGACTTAGTTGTGGCGCCCGGATGGTACTTATCAAGCAGAACCGTATGAAGCAATCAGGAGGTTCTGCGTTTTGCGAGGACCACTTTAAGAAGTGACATCAGTGACCTTTGTACCAACGGTTGCGATCGGCTGTTCGGCTAGTCATTTGACACATACGTGGTCACACTGAACACTCGTACAAGGATACAACCATTGCGAATGCCGATGAAATCCTTGCCTAAGTGATCGAGTAGAGCAAGACAAGAAAATTACTCGACGCATTGCGCAGTATGGAAAGCTAGTTCTTCTCGAACCCCGCCACGACCACTGACAATCAAAGAACATAGTGTTCTTGGACATACGGGCGGTAATTGCTTTAATAGACAGGATTGATTTATGGAACTGTTCATTAAGGAAAGGTGTGCCTGGCAAGCTTAGAAAAATGCTGAAGGAATTATACAGTCACACGTAGGGCAAAGTCAGGGCTTACGATAGTCTTTTCTCCTCGTTTACTGTCACCAGCGGTGTTCACCAACGTCGCGCTATTTCATCGTTTGTTTTCAATTTAGCCATCCAGGTTGTTGTTAAATTAGGACTAGAGTATTTAATATTGCGGCATTGAGCCTCTTCCTGGAGATAGTGTCGCGGACTTAGATTACGCCTATTGTATTGTTTGCTAGTGGACGATCCACAAGCAGTCCAGATCGCTTCGATCCGCTTAGCGATGGAGGCATTCAAATACGGCCTGTATTTCACCCCAGACGAACGTCTGTGCCTGCCCTCAACTTTGCTGGGAACATTTTGGAACAAGTTCTTTGCTTCAGTTATCTAACGGGTTGCGTCGCGACAAACGGCGATGTTGGAGATGAGATCCCACAAAGGCCCAGTTTGCTTAGACCGAGACACCTGTGGCGTCGTCGCGATGTTAGTTTCAAACTCGAAGGTAGGGTGTACATTGACTCCCACCGTCTGTTCATCTTGTACAGTTGTGAGACCTAGCCTATTAACTCGAAAGGCATGAGACGATTGTCAGTTTTTGACAAATGTTTTCTGCAAAGAACTGCTCGCGTACGATGGCAACCTCAGGTAACACAGAAGTTCGGGACCGAGTGCTTGAAGCGAACAGTCGCTGCCTCGAAAAGGTTATCCTTCATCACCGCATGCGTGGGCTCGGTCAGGTATTGCGTTTGCCAGTCTATCGCTGTCCCCGTCGAGCGTTATTTGTGATTCCAGAAAGCGATTGGAAGAAGTACCGCGGTGGACAGTCAATGACGTGGAAAAAGAGCGTGAAGAAGGCAACATCATGCTCATCAATAGTCGGTTCAGTCCGCCTTCCAGGTTGGGAATCAAGTGACATGGACTCCAAGTGGTTGTCAAGGTTGGATGTTGTGGTCAGTAACGGACAGCAGTGACGCCAGCGTTGTTTTGCCGTATCGTCTAATATTTAATGATCGAATGAAAGACAGAAAAACTCAAAAATTATGTGTGAAATACCAATATAACTGATTTTCGTTCGACTATTGCCCTCCATCTTTGTCATGATTCTAACAGAACATTGTCTGTACCTCGACTAGCGAAAATATATCTTTTCTGAAGAAGTCCGTCGTTAGTGAAATGAGTATGGCCCAATGGTTTCTAAGTGTGAGAACAAATACAAACGCTGAGCAATATGGTCATATCACAAAAAATGTGTATTCCAGGTACCAGATGCACAGGTCACAGCTGTAAATATACGATCGTAAGCACCCACGATGAAAGTATGCTGAAACCGGGTTGTATCCGGAGCTGAATGGCTTGTTTGCACATGTTTAGTTAGCAGACAAGGTGACATCATTAGTGTAACTGCTTCGTAAGCAATCACTGCTCCAGAACCCGAAAATCAACTTCGAACCGCCGTGGCAAACACTGCTCGCGGAGATCAATGGTCTAGTAATCATTACGATAGCCGCAACTCACTTGGTGCCTAGTTCCACTCCCACGTCGATTATCTGTACCTGATGAGTCCAAACACGGACGAAACAGACGAACGTGAAGTGCAAGGATGGGAGTGAGCCACACCGAAATACTCCACTTCGGTGAAGGTCCCAGGGACCGTCTTGGCAGAGATTGACTTCAAAGTCAACCGGTGCCGCAAATGAGATTGCGTGTCGCAATGCAAGACACACGGCGGGTGTTCCGAAAACCAAAAAGCAATTATAAGCTAAAGTTCGAACCCAGTGCCAGGCTTCGATGAACTAAGTTGTCTGCCGGCTTCGTGCTCTGCTCAAACAGGTGATTCGCTGCACGCATATACACGCTGGTATGAGTGATTGCTGAGCCTGTCAACTGATTGTTAGGCCGTTTTCATGTGGTTTTCTGTAAAGTATTTTTCCTATCTGGCCCCTGTATTAAGTATTGCAGTTTCTGAAGTGGACATTGTGAACCAAATCTGATGTTTACTCGCCGCTCAGCTTGTCAGTGGCCCTGAAGAGGTTATTGCGAACAATTACCGCCCGTTCGTGAACATCCTTGACTCCATACGGCGGCAAAAGTCGTGTCACTATGTTAGAAAATGTACTGACAAGATCCTGATTAATTCTTTTTCTATCCATTGAAGTTGTGGTTGTAGTGTCCATTCTGTGATCAGGAAACTCAGAATGAAGCATAGTGAGCGCGAATTCCATTTTTGACATGGACAGTACGTCATACAGCATACTCTCAGAAGAGAGTGCATATGTATGCAGGCGTAACGGAACGGTGGACAATACTGACACCATCGAGAGGCATCTGTCGGGACAGTTAGATATAAGTAGCATAGTTTAACAATAAACTGGACTGGTTCATCGACTGATCAGAGAGATCAAGCGTCCATAAGAAGTAATGATGGTGTAGAAACGACCTGGAAACTCGACACATAATCACCATAGTAAGATGTGTCGCGTTAGGACAGCTAGTACAGGGTAGGGGACTGCCAAGAGGATAGGTTTGACGGTCTGAAACAAATGTGCATCACGAAAAATCACTTACCGGCACTCAGATTCATGCCATAATGGCTGCCGAAAAGCCGGATTCGTACCAGACACTTGGATTCTTGTGGTGTAACAAGCGGAAGGGGCCGCACAATAAGCTGCACCATAGCACCAAGGACATACAAAACCGATGGAAGAAAGGGGAGATAAACAAGCGCTGCATTTAGACATCCGTTGGGAAGGTAGGATCAGCAGGCGATCGGGAACTGATTCGGCTGTCCGAGACGGAGTGACTGTCCATCCGGAGGCAGGCTCGACTGCCATCACCTCGCCGGGCTCGAAGATTGCAGTGGAAACCACGTGCCGACCTTTTAACGGTGATTGGACAACTTCAAGCCCAGCAGATAGTCCGGGATACTAAAATGATGACAGGTTAAGAAGACGTCGGATAAGCGTTTAAAAATGTGAATGAATAAATAACATTCGAAAGTACAAACCGACTGTTGTGGCACTTGAAACTATAGAAAGATCAAAAAGTGAGTGGGCACATCGTCAATCAGGTGCCACTATTTTGTCCGTCGAAGATGCAAGTGAATAAGCATGACCTGAGGAATTTGGTTGCAGACGCAAGATTGGCTGACAATGCGCAACGAATCAAGGAGCAATGGGACTTGATCGTGTGGCAACACATTTACTAGCATTCGATTGGTAGAATTTGGCTAGTAGAGCAATGACGGAAGAAACAACGAAGCAATCGCAAACAGAGCATCACAATTAAGAGTAGGTTGAATCTCAGAAGTTTTCCCCCCTTTGGTAGGTTAAGAAACGTTAATATTATATAGTCTGGTGTCCACCGTGAAGGTGTGGTGTTTAATTGCAGGAATTGGGGGGGGGGAGCGTGATGAAGCATAACATACCCACGAACACGCGGAAGAGCACAAGTTAATGTACCGCCGGAAAAAAGAGTGAAAACGAATGGAACAGAGCTAGGGGAAGCGTGAACACAGCACCCAACAGAAGATCTACCAATGTTTAGTGCATATGTATGAGGCATCTATTCGCTTGATGGTGAGGACGCATTCATTGGTCAGAATAGTGGTGTAAATGGGAAACGAAATCTCGGACACGGGAACAATGAACGACTTTTGCCAAGTTTCTTACGCCCAAATGTTAACTCAATGATCCGATGACTGTATCACGGGGCCTAACTTTTGACATTCAACTGGACTATATCAACTTTAGAGCTCAACAATGAAAAATATCAACTTTGGAGTTCGGTGTGGGAGCGAATAATCGTTGACATATATCTATTTCAAACACAGTGCCAGTAGCCTTGTAGACTGGGGTTTGTCTAAATGTAAAGTAAAATGTAAAACGTGCGGCCCTCCGGCAGAAAGAACAACAGGTGGCGGCGACACGAAAATCTTTATTGGCGAGAATTGCTTTCTTTTTATATCAGATATGACCATTTTCTGCGCCCGTTTCTATTCGGCTACTACACTTTCATGCATTTGTCTCCATTTGCCAGTGTCCTTTGATCCTGGGCGTTTCGCCTCCAATCGTTCGGTCGTAATTCGTCCATGGCATTTGCTACAATTGGTTCCCCATGCTGTGTCTTGACGATCAAAAACCAATCGGCCGATGGGTTTCGGTTCAGTGCCTGCTCTTTCTGGCCAATGGACGGTCGTTCGCGTACCGGATTGACGTGACGCTGATTGGTCAGGCGTCTGATGCAATTCCTCGATCCCCTTAACGTCGCTCACTCGTTTGCGCGCCGTCTCGGGTTTTGATTGGATATTCGGACCACGCTTGTTTGCCAGACGCTTTGCCGAGCCGTTGGTCTGTTCGTCCGATCGGTAGCTTGTGTGCGCCACTGGTTGGCGGTGCCGCGAACTGATTGCGATCTCCGATTGTGTTGCCGATTGGTGGAAACCAGTTTGCGCTGTTGGCTGGCGGTTTGGCACGTACGCTACCATCACATCCTTCCTTTTTTCGTTTTTTTGTAGTCCGATTGCGTAAGCGCTCTATCGCCTTCCACTGCGTGTAGTCTTGTGGTCGTGTGCTGCCGTATCCACCGAAATGTCAGGCTGCGTTGGCTGCTTCGCACGATGCCGTGCTTGTTCACCACGTTGTCTCCTTAACTGCACCCGGTTGCGTCGAAATAGACTATCCCCAACTCTTACGTCGTAGCTTCGTTCGCCTTTGAGACCTTCTACTCGCCCTCTCCTCCAAGACCCGTTAGCTCCCGGTGTCGGCGCGACCCAGACCTCGTCTCCGGGCAACAGGCGTGGAAGCTGCTTCGTTCCGCGATCGTAATATTTCTTTTGTCGAAGCATGCGCTCACGCAAGCGCTCATACATCAAGCTCTGCGATGGTATTTCAGGCTGCAGCAGAGTATTGGCGATCGGCAACAGGGTTCTTGTCCTACGGCCAAACAGACGTTGCGCTGGACTGCATCCAATTTCGGCAGATGGCATGTTCCTTCGTTCTAACAACATGATGTAAGGATCTTCTTTGGTCTCCTTGGCTTTGGTGAGTAACTTCTTTGCTTCCTTCACGGCTGACTCAGCTTTTCCATTTGACTGACTGTGGTAAGGGCTGGTTAAACGATGAAGGAAATCCCACTTTTCGCTGAAACTCCGAAATTCGGCGCTGTTGAATTGGGGGCATTGTCGGACACTACCTCTTCCGGTATCCCATGTCGCGCAAACTGCGATCGTAGCTTGTTTATCACGGCTGTGTGCTAGTAGACGTGAGAGCATCAATCTCGAAATAGTCGCTAAAGTAATCGACAGCGATCAGGTAATTCTTTCCGTCATGTGCAAGATGTCTAGGCGACTTTCGCCACGGCCTTTCCGGGACCTCACGAAGCATCATAGGCTCCTTCGGCTGGCGGACATCATGTGCTCACAGGCTAAGCAGTTTGAAATGATCCGTATCTGACTGTCATCAGCCAACTGCTCTCGAGCTGCCACGCAAGCATTGATCTGATCCGTGTATCACTCAGCATGGTCTATGCTTTGGAACGAGTCGTCTTTGAAGTGCCATCTGTGTAAGTCTCCGAAAGTAAAAGGAGTCACTCTTTGCAGCTTGTTTTCTTCGGCACTTCAGTATGTTCCTTGAGCCGATTACACAGTCGTCTGCTTCCGTGTGGCGTAGTGTTGCTGGAACGCTCTCTGTGCCAATAGCGAGTGACTGACATGTCTTGGTCTTCTTGCGTTGCGTCACATCGGAAAGATATGCTAACAGTGTGTCTGCAATGTACCAGTTGGTAGGATGTCTAGTCGTACTTTGAGCGCATGAGCATTCGTTGTAAGCGGCGTGGGACGACGTGCAGTGGTTTATTGGCTATTGATCAAGTGATCGGAAACATGCGACAAAGGATCGTGAACCTGCAAATGCTTCTCCTTTCCTGTGCATAAGCGTGATTCTAGTCGACCGAAATCGTGGCTTCGTATAGCCGACGACAACTGCTAATGGTCAGGGAAGTGACGGATGTATACCTAGCAGGGCACCATCTTGTTGATGTCTGAACTCTCTGTTGTTCTCATCTCCTAGTGTAGTTTGGATAGAACATATTCGAGAGAGTGAGTATACATGTTAGTCTTAGTTACATCTGTGCATCTCTTATGCTCTCGATCTGCTTAACTTCTGTCAAACATGTCGACACGTCTGTTTTCTAATTTTGTTCAATCTGATATGCTTGTCTTTACAGCGTTCTAGAAATCTGCTCAGGTTACGTGTCTGAGTGCCCAAATCTTGCTCAATAGCTGGTAGTTAGGTGATACTTGAAAATCGAGACTTCAACGATGTAAGGAACCAACGTCAATGGCGTCGACGTTAATAACTGATTGTCAGTGACGTGCCAAACGACGAGTCGACTCGGACATTGCTTGGAACTCGGTAGACTTCTAGCGTTGTAGAAATTCTATCGCTAGCGCTTAGGATGCACCAACCATTTGGTGTTCGGATGACTACCAATCGTGGCTCATCGCTTGCACCTAATCAAGCTCACTCTTAAACTTCACGCACGATAGTATTTTGCTGTAGGCTGTCTTTACCGTGAGCGCTGATTCCACGCAAACACTGGTATTCTACGTTGTACACGATGAGATCATGAAAAAACAAACCATCTGATCCAGTGGCATAAATCTCCTATACAAAGTATGACATCTGGTTTGCTCGTACCTCGTTACTTGATCGTTCCATTCTGAGTGTGTTGTATTGGATCTGCATCGGACAGTATTTGTGAGGAAGTATGTTCCGCTTGCTCCTGAAATTGGACGACCTTGAATAACTGCGAACTGTTAGTCTGTATGTTGTTGCAGTTCTGGTCCTGATCGTCCTGCCCGACTGAGTCGACTTTGGTTGCCTGACAACAACGTCGTGTTCTCTTCGCTTCATACATCGCCCCGAACTTTGCGTGGTGCGCGCAAACTGCTTGGTTGGCGCTCGAGCTTTGATTTGGCTCGGTCACACTGACCATTGAGCGTATGTTGAGCGTCTTGATCGTAAAAGATACGATGCAATGTTCAGAAAGTTCGCTCGCAAAGCTGGAAAGTTCCTCATTCTTTATGCCATTATAATTCGATCGCGGATCAGCGAATCTCGTAACAGGTGCAAATTGCAATCCCGCGCAGATTAGTCGATGTATGCCGATGTCACGATTGCTGAAAACAGAACTTTGGTAAGTTTCGTTTGTGTACTCCAATGCACTGCGTATTACATCAGCTCATCTCTGAGTTCATCGCTGAGATCCAACGTTTGCAGCGTCCGCCTGGCTTCGTCTCCATGATGCACATCGCCATATAGCTGCTAACAACTTTACAAGTTAGCACTTCGCCTTCCATATTCTCCAATTCTCCGGCAACGAACTTCGTATTGCACGGAGCTGGCAGCGGAATCGTTGGTTGTCCACAACGCATGCGGGTTCGCGTGTCTTCTTGTTCTGTCTAACGCGCCTCCGCGAAGACACGTGGCGACACGAAATCTTTGCAGATCTTCTATCAGATATGACATTTTGCGGTTATCGATAACTTGATTTTCATTCAGTGTCCTTACTGGGTTTATCGGTAATTCTCGCATTGCTACATGTTCCCGTGTGTTGACGATCAAAACAATCGGCCGATGGTTTTGCTGTGCATGATCGTGCACCGACGTAGTGATGTTGATGCTCTCGTCCCTACGTGTATCCGGGGTTGAGATTCGGCAGTTTTCAGGCTTCATGGTTGTAGTGTTGCGCACTGTGGTGCGGCTGACGTCATTGTCGAGTGAACAGTTGCTGTTGCTGGTTGATGCTCTCAAACTGATCAAGTATCGCATCCCGAGCGTTCTAGAGCAGCCTAAGGTCGATGTGGTATGCGAACAGTGAGCGCACTTCTATGGGGTTGTGTGACTCAGGAGATGAGTTTGTTCGA